ACATTCAGACTCCAGAGAGCTAGGAGCTCAGAATAAGGAAGAACCTTCAGTAAGGTGAAGTAATCAGTGAATGTTTAGTGGAAGCAGGAGAGAATTTTGAGGCAGGAGCTGGGCTGAGAACCACAGGTGAGGTTTATAAAGGAGGACCAGGATAGGCAGTTCTGATTTGGTGAAGATGTTCAGGGTGGGTGGCAGAAAGGAGAGGCACTGAGGAAACTGAGATGCAGAGAAACATGCTAAGTAAATGGATGAGCTGCCATTGGAATCCAGGTCTCCAACTCTAAACAGCCAATTCTTTTACCCCATGGTGTTCCTCCTAACTGGTCTTCTTGCCTCCATTCTGACACCCCTCTCCAAGAAATTCTCCACTGTATTAAGTTTCTATCTGAAACACAATTCTGATCAGGTCAAGTCTCCGGCTTAAATCGCTCAATGTCTTACTATGGCTTTCAGAAAGAAGCCGAACCTCTAACACACAGCATACAAATACGCATCATGGTCAGCACTCTGCCTCTTTTCCAGCAGGTCAATCATGTGTTCCCTTTGTTTCAGCCATTAACATCTCCCCACAGTTCCTTTACTGGACATGCTACCATTTCTCTCTACCTTTGCATATGTTGTTCTTTCAACCTAGAATGCCTTTCCCTCCCATTCTTCAATTAATGGCCTATTCTTCAAGCCTTGGTGCAAATGTCACCTACCCGATTGGCCTTTCTTTACCACACTCAAGCATCCAATTAGATTTAGATGCCTCTCCATGATGTTTTTACATCCTCCTCTTATGCATATTCCAATCATTCCTTATCACACAGCTCTTTAATCGTTAACTTCCCTGTCTCCCTTATTCTACCTCTCCATATATCACCAACCCTCAGAATAATGCCTAGCACACAGCAGATGCTCAGTAAATGTTTGTTACAGAAATGAAATCATAACGTTCAGACTTCATCAATTAAAATCAAACATGATTTATCCAATTAAAAACCAATAACCAAATACACAGGAAGTTATTTAATAACCACAAAACTTCTGTTACTTCAAGTTACTATTTTGACTCTACTATTAAAGGACCCAAAGGCTTCAGGAATCATACAGAAACACAAAGTCAAAACACAAAAACACCCAAGAATGGTAAGCCACTCTACACCACTGTGTGAATGGTAAGCCACTCTACACCACTGTGTGTGTGTGTGTGAGAGAGAGACAGAGAGAGACAGAGAGAGAGAGAGAGAGAGAGAGAGAGAGAGAGAGAGAGAGAGAGAGGTGTTAGCTCTACCTTAACACTAGCCTCTCTTAATTGCTAAGTCACTGCCTTAAACATGTGGGATTCAATCATAACAAATCTAGAGCTCTCTCTTCTGCTCAATTTGACAAAAATCCATTCCATGGTTGACATCAAGTTACTCATTAATCTAAGACTCATGCTGTTTGATGAGATGCTACAATCAGGGCCTCACCAGATAGTTACATAAGATACAAAGCTCCCTATTAATGCATTATTCAAAATGTGATGAGTCCCAAACAAGGTTGCCTTCATTAAAAAGCAGTGAAATAAAAGGGTCATTATGAGGAGGCACAATAAGAAGATGGAATTAAATTTTGTTAAATTTTGACTGAATTCATCTTAAACGAAAGTTGTTCAACGAAAGTTGAAAATATTCTCACCAATACCCATCAAAAGCTGAGGATGTAAAAAGTATAGTTCTTCAATATAAAAAACATGCCCTCCTTCTCCAGTTTTCCAGAACAATGAGGAACTAAATGAAAACAACTGAATCACAAGCCTTATACTTTATGAATCCACCATAGACAGCTATTGAGTTCATTTTTCTATGTAGTGGAAACTTTCACCTTAGCTAATACTATATTGACATTGTATAATTAATTTCTTTTTACCCCCAAGTGAATTACCTTCAATATCAATCACTCCTGTAGTCAGTGCTGTTTTGATCCTCCCTTCATCACTGACCTCATCTCCCTAGTAACTTCAAGTGGAATCAACTGGTGTCTCTTTCTCTTTCTCCCCCCCTTTGGTACCCCAACAGTTCTTACTCCTCTATAGGTGACAGATGCCTTAGAGAAACTGATGAAAACTGTGGGGCCCAGAAAAATGCATGTACCTACGTACAAATCTTTTCATACAATTTCACGAGTTTAAGAACTGCTATCCCCCACAATCACCCACACAAATAATTTCTATTATAATCCCACAAGCACGGGCACACATGCACACAATTAAGGACTATTACACTGATTAATAACATAATACCCCAAATAATAAAATTTAGTCTAGGTAAAACTTTATCTTCCTAGCAATATATTTTTTTTTTCTGTATTGATTTGAGAGAGAGAGAGGAAGGGAGAGGGAGAGATAGAAACATCAATGAGAGAGAACATATATCAGCCACCTCCTGCATGCCCCCGACTGGGGATCAGGCCCACAACCCAGGCACATATGCCCTGACAGGGAATCAAAATGGCAACTTCTTGGTGCATGGGTCGAAGCTCAACCACTGAGCCACACCGGTTGGGCTCTTCCTAGTAATATTTTAAGTTAAGAATCCCAAATGAACTTTTCTCTAAAAGGCCTTAGAAGAAAATGCCGAGCACTTCAATAAGGCAACTCAAAATAAGGAGTAAGGCATTTATAAAAAGAAGTTTACCAAGTCTTGTTTGGTCAACTTGCTTGCCTTAAAAAGTGCTGAAACATCTTCCCAAATGTGTCCTTATTAACTGACACATCTGCTTGTAAAATCATGTAAGGTTCAAATGTTATATTTGAGCAAAAAAGAAAAGTTCTCACTGATATTAACACGCTCTTGGATTCAAATACTTGTTCTACTACATCAAGCTATGTTCAACACCAAACAGTGTCAGCCAGGGACTGAAAGTGACACCACCTCATAACTATCTAGTTACCTTATCAAAGGAAGTAAGACATAAAAGATGAAACAGGACAAATGACCAAACAGAAGACAATATAATCAAGGTGTTATTTACTAACAGGCAGAGATCAGTGCTTTCCCTTGGGAGCATACTTCCAAACACTGAAAGGATCTTGCTGGTTGTACCAAACTGTTTGTGGAAACTTATCAACCAAAACTGTTTGTGGAAACTTATCGATTCACTTTTATTTTTGCTTCAACTTTTGTTCACAGCTTAAACCACAGTTCTGTGCAGACTCAGAAGTAAAAGGAAATATGACCACTCTTTTACCACAAACTGATAAATTTCAAAATCACGGCATCAGAATTTTTAACTACATCCAACTCAGGTGATACACTCACAAAACTTTTCTGACTTTCATGATGGTGGGGTGCCCATTAAACCCAGGGTAGACAATTCACAAAGACCTCGTGACTCCGTTTCTTCCCTTGTAGTTACTGGGCTAACAGGGCACTTCAAGTAAGTAAATTCTCAATTTGCCTCAAGTTACTGGAATTGATGAGACTCCAAACTTATTTTTTCTACCCAACCAGGTCCCTTCCCACATAATGGAAAGCTGTATATTTCCTGAAACTATAACACTTTGACCACTATTTCCCAATGTGAAAAGCAAATAGGAGGCAAGAGAAGGAAGTATAACATGTACAGACCAAACTGGCCAGATGCCATAAGAAACGGCATTATTGCCCTAGCCGGTTTGACTCAGTGGTTAGAGTAGCGGCCTGTGGACCAAAGAGTCGCAGGTTCGATTCCGGTCAAGGACATGTATCTCTGGTTGTGGTTTGTCCCCAGCCCTGGTAGGGTGGAGGGGGAGGCAACCAGTCGCTGTGTCCCTCTCACAACTATGTTTCTCACAACTATGTTTCTCTCTCTCTCCCTCCCACTTTATCTTAAGATAAACAGGGGAAAATATCCTCGGGTGAGGATAAAAAAAATTTTTTAAAAGAAACGCATTAGTTAAGTCACCCTCCCCTTCCTAATCAAGTTGCTGGTTAAAACTGGAAACTCCAATGTCAACACGTGGCTTGTGCTTCGGAGCCCGACTACCACCGTTCGGACAGGAGTCTCTGCGGAACGTGTACAGGCAAACCATTTCCCCTCGTGGCACCCGAGGGAGAAAGTTGACCCCCAAAAAGAGGAACCCCTTTTTACTGATGAGCAGAGGAAACTCCAGTATTTCCCAATCGAATACCGGGCCCCATAGAGTTCATTCCCCTGCCCATGGAGTCAGTAGCAGGAAATGGACTGCCGGCACTGGTTCACACACACTCAGGACCGTGATCCTTGTCAGCCTGCTTCTCAAGTTCTGAATCGGCTCAGTGAGAGCGCTTGTCTGCCTCCGCCTATTCACACACGACAGTTGGTGGTACCTCACCCAGCCTCCAACTCCCACGCTCCCCCCACTTTCCCAAGAAATGTTTCTTGGGAGAGCACATGGAGAGGCAGGGGGAGGGCGGCGCACGTAGGCGTCTCTTCCTTCAATTTCTGCTAAAGTGAAAAAGACTTGGGCGGGGGTGGGGGGGCTAATTGTGTGTGTGTGTGGGGGGGGGGTGTTTTGTTTTGTTTTATAGGATTTTTTTTCTTTTTTCTTTTCGTAAGTCTGTGGGTGGGCTCCCAAGTATGTGGACTGCGAGGAAGAGCGGTTTCCCCGTCCGGACCCTAACGGCGATCAAAGAGGCAAAACCCAGCAAGTGACAGGGGCGGGAGGGGACCGGGATCGCGCGAAGGAGCTTCGCGCCCACAAGTTCCACAAACGGCAGCCCCTGCCCAGGACTCGGGGTCTCCCCAAGTTGGGGTGGGGCCTTTCTCCTCCCCGCGGTGCCGCCCAGGCCGGCGGGAGGGAGAAAGGGGGTAAGTGGAGAAGGGGGTGCTCTTCCGCCCCCTCGCCGTCTGCGCGCCTCGGCGTGGCCGCTCCTCGAGCGGCGCCCCGAGTTGTCCAGCGAGGTCGCGGTCGCCCTTGGGAGGGGGCCCCGGGGGCCCCCGCGGTCAACGGCAGGAGGACCCCGGGGCTCTCGCTTGTCCCCAAGGCCGGCGGGGGCGGCGGGAGCACTCACCAATTTGGGTTTGTTTTTCGTTTCCTCTTCGTTGGCGGCCCGGTTCCCCGCGCTCCGCTTGTTGCTCCGGCCCCCGCCGGGCTCCTCGCTGCCGCCTCCCGCCACCGCCGCCGCCGCCGCCCCGGGCTGCTCCATCTTTCTCCGGCCCTGTCACCTGTGCCCTGTCACCCCACCTCTCCGCCACTGAGGAAGCCCCTCGGGGCGCGGCCCCGCGCTGCGCCGGGAGCGCCGCTTCCGGGGAGGGCGTGTGTCTGCGGGGAGCTGGCGGCTTCAGGCCCCCGGGACTCCGGGCTCCCAGCACCCCTGACGCCACACGCCGCTGCCACCACTCGGCGCCGGGGCAAGCCCTGCCCCTGAGCAGCTGCAATTACCGCCGCCGCCGCCCTCGGGGCGGTGTTCGGGGTGGAGAAAGTGCGTGCCTGTCTATAAGGAGGCCTCGGCACACGTGATTCATCAAAGTGCCCGCAGTCCGCCCGCCTGGGCGCCGGCAACTGCTTCCTACTCCCGGTGCCCGCCGGCCGGCTACTGAGCATGCCCGGTGCGGCGGCCGGGCGGCGAGGGCGCCTGTGGGGCGCGCAGCGCCTGCCCGGGCCCCGCGCGGACTGGGAGGGAAGCGGTCCGGGCACAGGAGGGGGGACCCATTTTACAGATGGAGCAACTGAGGCCCGGGAGGGTGCCCGAGTGCGTTGCACTGGAGGATCGAGCTGGGTGTCAGCTTTCGCCGTGTAGGCCAGGGCCCCTGCCCCGGAGAAGCCTGCTGGGGTGCGGCCCGCTAGGCTCCGGGGGCGGCTGGCGGGGCGGCGGAAAAGCACCGCGGGGAGCGCTGATTAATTGCCTAGATTAGGAGGACTGTGCGGGTCGAAGTGGAAGGAGTGAGTGCTTTCTATTGCCATGATTGCGTGGCGCCCGGGAAAGTCTGTCCTTGGCTCCCGAGCTGCCGGCTCGTAGAAGCGGCGGGCACCTGCCACTCAGCTCCCCGGGGGGCGTGGGGCTTGTAACCGCAGCACCTGCGCGGTGACAATGGCACTGAGCGCGCTGGTCTGTTTCCCGAACTACTTTAGGTGTGGGGCTGTTGCGGAGAGTGAAGATCATGCGTGGCAAAACTTTGTTTAGAATGTGAATCTCATAATGAACATAACAGTCTGAGGGGTAGGGTGGACCCAGAAACATGGAAGTAGGGTACAGACTGACAACCCTCAGAAGAGGGGGTGGGGGAGGGAGGGAAGAGATAAAGCACAGAACTTACACGCGTGTACGCATAACCGATGGACATGGACGACAAAGCTGGGGATGGGGCGGGGACGAGGAGGAGGGTGTCAATGGGGTAAAAAAAAAAAAAAAGGAGAAACATCTGTAACAAAAATAAAATTAAAAATAAAATGTGAATCTCAGAACTTATATGCATGTATGCATAACCGATGGATGTAGACAACAAAACTGGGAAAACTGGGGACCGGGTGGGATAGGGAGAAGGGAGTCAGTGGGGGGAAGGGAGAAACATCTGTAACAAAAAAAAATTAATAATAAATAAATAAATAAATAAATAAAGATGCGTTAAAAATAAATAAAATAGAAAAAAATAAAAAGTAAATCTGTTCTTTTATCTCTGTTGTTGAAAGCATTACAGATGTCCTCCCTTTATTCTCCCATTGACCCCCCCTCCTCCTGGCCCCCGCCACCCACTCCCACTCCACCTTCATCACACTATTTTTTATTTATTATTTTTTTTAATTTATTTTTTTTTAATCCTCACCCGAGGACATTTTTCCATTTTTTGTACAGATAGAGTGGGAGGGAGAGAGAGGAAGAGAGAGAGAGAAACATCGATGTGAAAGGGACACATCGAGTGGCTGCCACCCACCCGACCGGGGACAAACTGCAACCGAAGTACTGCCCTTAGCGGGAACCGAACCCGGGTCTCTCCTGACCGCAGACGGACGCTCTAACCGCTGAGCCAAACCGGCCAGGGCTCATCACACTATTGTCTGTGTCCATTGGTTATTCTTTTTTTGTGTGTGTGTGGTACGTGCCCCTAGCAGGAACCGAACCCGGGACTCTCTGGCCCGCAGGCCAACGCTCAACCGCTGAGCCAAACTGGCCAGGGCTGGTTATTCTTATATACATATAAGTTATTAGGTTGATCATTACCCACCAAAAAGAAAATGTAAATCTCTAGACTAATGCTCCATGTTATTGTGCAACAGCAGCAGGACACTGCCAGTATTGTTAGTCATTAAACCTTGAGTTGTCAGGAAGAGGCCCACGCAGTTATTTTTTCCATCCTTTTTAAATAGGGCCCTTTAAAAATAATGTTCTCAGGGAGAACATTCAAGGGGCAGGGCAGGGTTTGAATGAACCAGCATCATAGAATAAGAGCACATATGTTAGGCAAGCTACGTGCAATGTAAGTTCAGGCACTAAGTCTCTAAACATGTCCATATGCCTGTTACTCAGATGTCTTCAGACTAAGACTCCTTTTGCCTTCTCTTCAATCTAAAGTCAGTTCTGCTGAATCTAATTTGTTTATGAACATATTTATTGAGTGTATTAGAATAAATGTGACTATGCCATAGGCATGATCAGGCAATTAACGTGGACAGTACAGTGAAAAGAATGTCAGATATCAAGACAGTTTAAATCCCAACGATGTCATTAACTGTCTTTTTAATCATGCAGATAGTAACCCACCCAGGGACAGCAGAGAAGAAGGAATACGTGCTCCCAGAGAGAGTGGACAAGGAGCCCTAAGGTAAATTTGCTTTGTTGACATTCCTCTTTGACTTAAATTTTGATGTATATTTTGAATTCCACTCACTACACGTGTGCGTGCATGCACACACATGATTTAAATTACTTAAATGTCTCCCCTCCTGAAAAGTTGCATGAATATGGTTGCTGCAGAAAGACATGACCCGTTTGTCCAATGCTTTCACGTTAATTCCTTTGAGAGATGTAGGTGTAGGCCATTGCTGAGGGTTTTCCAAGCTCAAATGATGCTTAGAAATCTCTGTAGACGTTCATTGAGCTCCCTAGGGTATACCAGGTACTATAAAGAGTGTGATGGGTTAGAAAGATGACGCGGACATCGTTTCTGCCATTTAGAATCTCACAGTCTACTGGGAGAGGCAGACCGTTAAAGAACCCCACTTCAGCACAACAGATATGAATAGGGAGCCCAGGAGCTCACTAGGGAGGTATCCCCCCAACCCCCCCAAATGTCAGAGGCTCCGGAACACCTTCCCAAAGAGTTGAGTCTTTAAGGTGTAAAGTCAGTAAGTATTTCTTGACAGCCTACTGAGTCTTAGGTACTGTGCCAGGTTTTGTGGGTACACCGGTGAACAAGACAGATGTAGTTTGCTCTTATGCAACTTGCTGGCTACTGGAAAAGATCTGAAACAAACATGTATTGAGCAATTTACTAAGCAAAGAAGGTGAGTGAAGAACATTCCAAGTGCCCTGGCCAGTTTGGTTCAATGGTTAGAGCGTCAGCCCAGGGACCCAAAGGTCTCAGGTTCAATTCCCGGTCAAGGGCACGTACCTGGGTTGCAGGTTCAATCTCTGGCCCCGTTCCAGGTCATGCAGGAGGCAACCAATTGATGTGTCTCTCTCTGTCTTTCCCACTTCTCTCCCTCCCTCCCACTCTATCTAAAAATCAATGGAAATGAAAAAAATATCCTCGGGTAAGGATTAACAACAACAAAGAACACTCCAGGCAAATGAAATAACAATAGCATGTGCAGAGACCTGTGCTTAAGAAATTGGAGGTGTGGGGTGGAGGCTGCTGTTAGCAAGAGAAGCAGAACACATAAGCAACTTCCAGATCATGAAGGTCCCAGATCATGAAGCTCCCTACTTGTAGGTCTCATTGGTGTGGTTTTAAAACAGGGTAAGGCGTTGTAGTACAAAAACTTCTGTTTGGAGGGTGTAAATAGACATAAAAATGGATTGACATTACTTTGCATGTAAGATGGGTTTCACCACCCTCAGGCCAGGCGAAACTACATTTAAAATCAAGTTAGAGGTCCATATAAAAGGCGCATAATCTTTACTAAAAAAAAAATGAAAAACTCTGTCCCTGACATGGCTTACATTTGACTTCATTGCAGTTATCTCAGCCCCATCTTCCAAATTCTTGATGTTTGTTTTTCAGCATTTTGCTCCAATGAATGTAAACAAACAAACACCCTTCCTTTGGGGCATCAGGGTCATTGGCCTCTCTTGGAAGTTAACACACAAAGGAGCCACTAATCTCCAGCTAGGACACTTTGTCCTCTGATTATGAACCAGGCTCATCCCCATGTGCACTCCCAAGGCTGATCGGACTGCACCCACATTTCTTTATTTTGACCTTTCTGGGACACACCAGTAAGCTGGTGGATGGAGAGACAGCTTCATTCCTATGCTGAAGAAAAAAAGAAGTTACATCACCATCAGTGAGGGTATCAAACATGCATGTTAGAGTCACTGACCTTTTGGTCTCTCCCTCTGGCCTCTCATGAGTTTAGCACCCAGTGAACACAAAAACGCCAGCCCTTGGAGAAAAGAAAGATAAAAGGCTACGAGGCTCTAGTTTTCTTCAAGTTGACCTTAGATGCATCCACTACTCCCCGAGGTTTCTGATGATCCTTATAGTCTTCCTCTGGCTTTTTGTGTCTCCCTTCTGCTGTGTGTTCTCATCTTAACAATCTGGGTCATTAATAGAGAAAGTAAAGAAAATATAAATTAGCCCTGCCAGTGTGGCTCAGCGGTTGAGCGTCGACCCACACACCAAGAGTTCACCGGTTCGATTCCCGGTCAGGGCACATGCCCAGGTTGAGGGCCCGATCCCCAGTGGGGGGCATGCAGGAGGCAGCCAGTCGATTATCCCTCTTATTGATTATTCTATCTCTCCCTCCCTCTCCCTTCCACTCTCTCTAAAAATCAATAAAAAAAAAATATTTTTTTAAGAAAATATAAATTAGACAAATATGAGAAGTAACCACCTTCAGGGTCATGGAAAAATATGTGAATGAAAAGTTGCCTATAAATGAACAAGTATTTCTTAAGCATGTACTAGATAGTCAACATCACACTAGATGTCCAGCAGATAAAAATTACCATTCTGCTATACTGTCATATATGTCTTCCTAAAAAAA